GACTTTTCAATCGAGGTTAATTTAGCTTTTAGAGGTCCAATTTCGGCCTCCAAGAGTGACTTAATTTCATCTTTAGTTGCCATCAAAGCAATACAATTGCAGATGCCTGCACTTAACAATGGTAGCCAAAAATTTGGCCAACGTTAAAAAACACGTGCGGCCGCCATTGCGCCATATGCTAATATATAGGTAGGAATATGGGTAGGAATAGTGTCTTAAATAGGATAAACTGACTTCAATTCCGACTTCAATGAACGACTCTGCAGGTTAAAAGGCAGTGGCGAGAAACAGGTCATCATTAATGTAAAATGACTTTTCATCCATTGCTCTATGCTTTTGAAGGTTTTGCAGTTCAACGAAGTGCATCCCAGCCCCCTTATAAACTACTGACCGATGACTTCTTTTGTGCATTTGTTGAACATACAAATACACAACTACGCTTAATGGTCGCTCAATAGAGGTCATAGAGGTTCGTCATAAACCGGGTCACTGATAAATTATTATTATCTTTAGCAGAAACATCAAACACGCGATGGGGGCAGCATTACTGGTCCACAATCGGTAAACCTTCTATCTCGGACTGTTTTACTTCATCATATTCTCAAAAAATTTTTTACAAAAATGAAGCCCAACTTAGTCTATCTAGTGCTTGATGGCCGCTTAAACGTGGTGAAAACAATGTAAAAACTTTCGTTGGGAAGGGAAAAAGCTGGCCGGGGTCGCTTAAAGGTCAAATGAACCAAAAAATTGACATATTCTCTTTTGTCGCTTTACCTTCACCAAACACTGAAAAGAACCATCCTAAGCGAGTTTTGGGTAAAGATTTTTCTTCCCAAGCCTTTATAGAAAGATAAACGATCAAAATCCGAGCATTTACGAAGACTCCACGAAAACGTTTCTGAAATGGCCGCGTGATAGACTAGAGACTACGTGACGTCAATGTTGGTCTTCTCAGGGCAGAAAAACGTTCTGCGCAAGCTTCTGCGCATCCCTTATCGCCTGCGTTTGTTTGTCTCGTGCTGTGAGAGTTCTGACTGAGACTGAATGAAATACACGAGGTGCGAACGTTTGCTCCTTGTAAAGGCTTTTTTTTTTGTTGTTTTTGCTGTTGTTGTTGTTTTTTCGTCACTTGAAAATTACTTTGGATTCAGAACAACCAATGTTAGAGTAAAAACAGATCATCTGTCAGTCTGAGGACGAATAAAACGTTTTGAATATTTCCAAAGAGGTTTGTACTTTTCTGATAATAGTGTATTCGATTTGTGAATTGATTTTGTGTCCAGTGCTTCGCCTTCTTTCGCCGGACTGAATTAAAACCCGCGTGTATTCTGTTATTAGTAGTTACACTTAGTTTTTTTACACGCCCAGATTTATTTACCTTTGCAGAACCAGCTTTATCCTTGTCTTATGTCAAAGAACCGTAATGCTGCGTAATGCTAACGCTTGCGAGTGAACAAACTTGAGCGCTTAAAACTTCCTCGGAACTTTAGAACGCCAGCAAGCTTACTCGAGAAGAAAAGAATACTTCGATCATTTTTCTGTTGCTCAAGTAATAATAGTCAGAGTTCGTTTCCTTTAGTTTTTTCAGTTTTAATTACATAGTTTTGTTATCTTTCTGTACGCGACTTTTCCTTTCACTCGCTGTAAAGTAGCGGAGAACGACAACTGCCGGCAGTGACTCCAAAACAATTGACTCTTCAGTGCCTGTAAACAATTGCTGGAGCTGGATTTGACGGAAGCGAGCAAAACAAATCCTTATGTGCAGTTTTCTGTATTTTCTAATGATTCTCTTAACCTTTACACCCCGAAGTTCTGGTTCAAACTCTTAAACTAGGAAGTTTTGAGGATCAAGCCCCATGAATTATCTCGCGAGCAAGCCCTCCATTTCGAGTGGCGAGCGAAAAAAGTCGCGAGAGAACGGGAGAGCTAGCGGCGAAGCTCGCGCCATCGTTCGCGTTTGGCTCTCGAGTGACTTCTCGCGACTCCCCCAAATGGAGAGCTTGCTCCCAGGCTACCTGTGTGTTGATGTGAATGGTTAAACGCGGGGGTGGAAAGAAAAAGTATGCCAAGGATTGCAAGTTAATGAGTTTCATGTTCTCTATGATCGATAGGTATCGCGAAGTTTCCCATAGCCCTATAATCCTTAGCCAAACGCATTCAATTCTGGCATATTGTGTCCAATATGAAGTAGCTAACGGCCGAGTTTTTTCGCATTTCTGGACATAAAAGAGAAAACGACGACAGGAAATGTAGTTCACTTTTCTTGCGTAAGTAAATGCTTTGGTTATTTTATCGATCATAACAAACAAAGGTGAAAAAGAACGACCAGGTTGCTAAATGAGCTTTGAGTGCAATCAATTATTTCAATTATATATATTTCAGGTTTTACACTTTGCACAGAGTTTAAATTAACTGAGCGAATTACGTAACGACTAAGATAGATTTCTACCCATTAACAGAAATTTACCGAAGACCGACAAAGATAGAAAACTATAAGTTTTAACAGACAACCGACTACTATGGGCCCACTCCCACCTCCCATTCAGACCCTATTTGTTGAGGAAGGACGAAGTTGACGGTATGAATCGTGAACTAATTCTCAAAATTAGCAAATACGCATTCTCTTTAGGTCATTGAGTACAGCGTGCTGTCGCCATTTCTTCAGTTTCGGTTATTTCTTGAATTTACTAAGCAATCGCCAGGTAAGTATGACCCTTGCATATAAATGACGTCATATTAGCAGTCTCTCGCAAAGTTGAAATCTTCTCGGTTATTCAATGAACTGGTCCTGAGAAGCACAATAAACCACTAACTTCATGTGGTAGGTCCCACCCCTATTCTGATTAGCCGCACTGAGAAATGTTTGACCGCACATGACGAAGGAATGCAGGGTCCTGGCCCAATGGTTAGGATTAGTGTCTTAAATAGGGTAAACTGACTTCAATTCTGACTTCAATGAACGACTCTGCAGGTTGAAAGGCAGTGGCGAGAAACACGTCATCATTAATGTGAAATGACTTTTCATCCATTGCTCTATGCTTTTGAAGGTTTTGCTGTTCAACGAAGTGCATCTCAGCCCTCTTATAAACTACCGACCCATGACTTCTTTTGTGCATTTGTTGAACGTACAAATACACAACTACGCTTAATGGTCGCTCAGTAGAGGTCATAGAGGTTCTTCATAAACCGGGTCACTGATAAATTATTATTATTATCTTTAGCAGAAACATCAAACACGCGACGGGGGCGGCATTACTGGTCCACAATCGGTAAACCTTCTATCTCGGACTGTTTTGCTTCATCATTGTATATATTGTAGGCGCTTACACCAGGCGTTAATACTTCTTTTTAACTGCTTAAATGGTACGGGACCTACTTATATTGGAAGCCTTTTTAAATACAGGCATACACCGTATAGGCTAAGAGGCGAAGGCTTGAATTTGGAATTACCTAACTTTAATCTTAAATTTAAGAAGAATTCTTTCCCTTATTCATTAGCTAAGTTATGGAACAGTTTGCCTTCTCAAGTGCGTCTTTCAAGAGATGCTAATGACTTCAGAAGTAAATTGCACGACTGTAGCTTTTTAGAACGCGTCTTATAGTACACGATTGTAGCCTTTAACTGTTTTAGAACGAGTATTATAGTTTTCCTAGTCACGTTTTTAGTATTTGACTTTTTAGTCGGTTTTAGCTTTTTATATTTTATGTTTTTATTACCAAGTTTTTTATATGTATATATTTATTGAGTTGTTTTTAAAATTGAATAATATTATATACCTGTAGTTATTATAGATTTTATTTATACACGTTCGTATTTTGAACGAGTTTTTTTAGCTCTTTGACGAAACGTGTTAAAATAAATGATTGATTGATTGATTGATTGATTGATTGATTGATTGATTGATTGATCATATTCTCAAAAAAAAAAATGAAGCCCAGCTTAGTCTGTCAAGTGCTTGATGGCCGCTTAAACGAGGTGACAACAATGTAAAAACTCTCGTTGGGAAGGGAAAAAGCTGGCCGCGGTCGCTTAACAGAGGTTTAATTTCTTATTCTTTTCTACAGTTATTTCGGGACTTTGATTATTGGCCTCTTAATGGAGGTTCAATTTTATATGAATAAATCAGAAAACCAGCCATAAACAATATACGGCCATAAAATGTACCTGTTAGACCAGTTGGGGCTATTTTATAGACCGAAGAGACAGATTTCTACCCTTTCATATTCTTAAACTAGTGAAGTCACTGCCCTTTCATATACCTGAAGCCCGAAAAAGGTACCCTTTTCGGGCGAAGCCTCCCCGTATAGGTCTTGTAGGGAGTACCTCCTCCCTCCCCCAGGGATGATCTAAGCGCCTGCCTGCCCCTTTTACAATAGTGGCCGTTTGAGGTACCAGGAATCTGATTTACTTTTTGGTTTTTATTCTTCTTTGACTTCTGTTAACAATCTTAATCTTAATCTTCTTACTCCTCTTCTCACTCAATCCTTACTCTCCTAATTGGTACAAGTATAGTAGCGGTTTTTACAGCCAAAGCTGGACATGTTTTGGGTTAGCTCGTGACTTTGGGAATAAAATAAGGCGTGCATGTGTTGTTTTGGTATTACTAAACCTATGTGGTTGCGATCGGCAAGAAGCTACAAACCAATGAAAAACTAAAACGCTGGTTAACTACTAAACCCAAACAGGACCTTCAACGAGACAAATGAACCAAGGTCAGCTCTAACATAAAAAACACGACCACCTATGAAAAACTAACATCTGACAATAACAAGCAAAGAATATTCCTAAAGGGACATTAAGTAAATTTCGCGAGATAAGTATAAATTCAAGTACAAGTAAAAACAAAAGATCAAAACAGGAAAATCCCTATCTGGGCAAAATCAAGACTAAACTGATGAGAAAAATCTTAAAATAACTTTCAAATACCTCACAACAATAAGGTGAGACTGAATCTTGAACTAACCACGTGAACTATTAAATAAATGTATAAGCATTCTTTTTAGATCCCCTTGTACACCGTACTTTCAATGTTCCTTTGGTTATTTCCATAATTAGCAATAGCCAGATAAGTATGACCCTTGTATTCAAATGACGTCATATCAATGGCTCCAAAGGTTAAAAGCTCTTGATATTTTGTGAACTGGCCAAGAGCGGAGAACTGATACAACACTGTCTTTGTTCTGTATTGATCAGCCAAACCCAGAAAAGTTTGACCGCACATGACAAAGGGATGCAGGGCCCTGGCCCCAGAAGTAAGGATAGTCTTAAACTGGACAAACTGACTTCCATTCCACTTGTTAATGTATGACTCTGGCTGAGAGGCAATGGCGAGAAACACATCATCAATAATGAAAAAGGACTTTATATCCATTGCTCTATGCTTTTGAAGGTTTTGCAGTTTGACGAAGTGCATCCCTGCCCTTTTATAAACTACTGACGATGCCGACCTGACTGCGTTTGCAAGGGCAATGTAGCTTTCATTGTTAATTACAAACGCAGCACTTGCACGACATCCCTCTGTCGCTATCTCCTGAAACTTTTCAAACATGTTGTTTTTCCACTTGTAGATCGTTGAGTTGCCGCTTTGCGTAACATCACCATAGAGTTTGGATACGGTAAGAAAAGGTTCTTTCGCTATTGTAAAAAAATTAAAGCTGACTCCACCATTCGTTGCAATGTTTTGAAAAGCAAAAAATGATGTTCCATTCCAAAGATAAATAACTGAGTTCATTCTGCTCGTAGTTCCATTATAAGCATTAGCAACAGCAAGATAATGTTTGCCAGAAATTGAAAAATATTCCACGTCATGCCCTCCATGTGTGCCTATGGTCTGGTAAAGAAAGAATTTTCCAGTCAAATCGTTGAACTTGTAGATAAAAGAATCTGTGTTGTATTTTTCGGCGGTGTCACTTTTAAAGTTGGCGAACGCTAGAAAAAGACTTCCATCAATGGTGAAATGTTCCACGGCGTGAGCTCCTCTGGTTGGTAAATCTTGGTATTTTTTAAAGTAATAACTAGAACAATCTGGATAGGAAAACGAAAACATAAAATTCATGAGTACTAGAAAAACCCACGCCGCAAAAATTCACGAAAAAAGTAGACAAAAAAAAAATAAGAAAAAGAAATACTTAATTCGGCGATTTTGGGAAGATAGTTTTTCGCGGGGTTTTATATTCTCGATTTCAACAGGTAAATATGAAAAAAGGCCATTAAATTTTGCCATTAAAGCGTTCTCAAACCGATTTTATTTTTCAAAAAGTCTGAACTTTTTAAAATTTCTAGATAAACTGGAACAAGCAATGTGTAAAATCTTTGCAATTAACGTTATTTCACATGCCAGTAAAACCAATGAACAATTTGTGTATTTGTTGAACATAATGTATATATATGTTGTTGCTAAATTGTTAACATTTTTGTGTTTGTTTGTGTTTGTGTGTGTGTGTGTGTGTGTGTGTGTGTGTGTGTGTGTGTGTGTGTGTGTGTGTGTGTGTGTGTGTGTGTGTGTGTGTGTTTTGAATTTTCTACAAGGGTTTTAAACTTCGCGTGGTTATGTTCGCGGGACTTTAATTTCGCGATTTATTTACAATCAAGAAAAACGCAAAATTAAGTACCGATTAGGTAGTATAATCGTTCACCTAAGGAGGGGGCAAGACGTTGAACTTATCGTAAGACGAGAAAAATTACGATTTGGGTGGACCTTAAGTTCGACTGCTGAGTCAAACGTCGAACTAACTTGAACGTCGAACTTAATTAGAGAAGAAAGCAATAATGCGCGAAACGGTTTTACAGTCGAACGGTGAAACGTTCTTTCTTGGTCCCTACAGTATTTTATTTATTAATTATATGATATAATAACTAAAGGGGGTTCCTATTCACAAGCCTTATTGGCTTCCTTGGGCTCCGTTGCCTCATCTTCTTTTAAACTTTATACGTATATGTTTGTTTGTATGGTAAAATGATAATAAACAATATAAACAATAAACAGCTCATAAGGTGCAGTTACACACACTTCTGTAGAAGGCATTTCTCCCGATAAAGAAGGCCGTGGTATTACTAATCCCTTGGCAAAGGATCGGGTTATTTCGCGTGAAAAAAAAAAGTGAATGGAACTATGTCGGCATCCCAAGGACTGTTGTAACCCAAAGCCTCATTACTACTAGGGGTCATTTTTTATGCATTGCTACGTAGAGTGTCTGTTATTTAGAATACTGTGGCGATCAACTGAAGAGGTCGTTTGACGAAACTAGTTTTGTGAATCACTATTTAACAGTTAAAGGAATGAGGCTGAGTATCTTATGAAGAATTATGGAGATCGACGAGGGTGTTATATAATTCTTCATATGATACGAAATCCGAATTCAATAACTGTTTTAATATTCATTCAAAATAATTCCTAGTTTAAAAACATAGCTAAAATATGCTTTCCTCCATCGATCCATCGATGTTCAGTTCATCTTCGATAGTGTACGTTTAGGTTTGTCCAGCTCCGCAATTATTCTCCAAATAGCAGATGTCGCCCTTCGAGCTGTCTTCTTGCTGTTCTTGCCATGTTTTTAGCTATTTTTTCGCCTAGTTCTTACTCTTGAAACGAGTGAAATGTCCGCCATTTTGGCAAGTTCAGAACCAAGACAACTCAACCTCGTCCCCAGGTCTTCTCGGTTAACGGTGCCTTAACCTGCGAAAACGCTGCATTTTTGACGTCATTTCCTCGTTAAAGTCAAATTTCTTCTAAATTTGGTCATCAGTAACTGGTTATGGTGAGTTAAACGTGTGCTTTTAGCCAATCAGAATCGGGGAAATATTTTTATAAATAATAAATAAATTTAATAGTGTGTTGAAAGTGCAAACAAATTAGTTCTTTTTCCTTTTGTTTACTGAAATAATGTTAAGTAACGCTTTCTTGGCTTCGGCAGTTTAACAGAATTGATCCGAGTTTGTTTTTCAGTTTAATTAAGTGATTAAGTTAGCAAAGAACGGATTTAGGAAGGACAGATTCTCACCAATCCCGCCAGACTAGCATTTTGAAGAACTGAAAAACAACTGCCAATTTCAGTATTCACCTATTACTCTTTCCAGACAAAACTTTCCTCCTTCTGGGAAATTAGCCAGCCAAAATCAGTCCATATAGGAAAGAACGACGATAAAGTGGGCAACAAAACTAAGAAAGAGAGCAAGAAGGAAGGATCGAAATAAATTTGCCAAGAAAGGTCTAAGTTTTATAACTCAAGCCCATGAAAGGTACTAAAAAAAACGAGTGTGAATGATTTACATCCCAAAAATACTTCCCAATTCCCGTTCCATTTCTATGCTAACTTGTGGAAAACCAGCCCAACTACTAAAATTCTGTATTGCAAGCGTTTTAGGGTGAAACTTTCTTTACCGTAATCGCAGTCAGGATCATGGCAGGATCTCATGTTCAGTTGATAATTATGCATAATTTTGTTAAATTTCAACCTGGTATGTTAGTCCTGATAATTTGGCAAAGGCATAGAGCTATTTGTTTTAGTCTTGGCCTTAGATTTCATTGTTTGCATACCATCTCGAATATTTGCATATTTTCATGGGTAAATATCGTACCTACATCTGGCTCAACAAACTACTTAAAAATTCCATCACAGAATAAAATATTGTACAACAAAGAAACAGAATACAGCTTCGCCGGGTGTCGAACCTCGTTCTTCTGCACGTGCAAGCAACTCCTTGACCACTGCACTACTGTGCCACTCAGTTTTTGGCGAAGTGAGTTTGTTTTTTTAAAACCATTTTTCTCTACCATAGACGCTGTTTGAAAAAAATAGCTTAAGCGCGTATATCAAAGCTATTTCGCATTATTGTTTTGGGTTCAAAGGACCGATCGTTGTAAAAAATCAATCAAACAAGCTGTACTGAATTTAGTGGAGAATTGAGAAATAAACAGAACCCCACACTCGAAGGGATTGATGAGAAGTACGGTCGATTTAATTAGCAAAGAAGATGTAGAATATAAACGTCTGTGACTTCTGAATCGAACCTCCTACTCTGGAGACTCAGAACTAACAACAGAGCAGATCAATTTACTCTCTCGGGGTTTGAAATTCATTCCAACTCCTGTCATGAAAGAAAACCAGATAAGGAGCCAACTAATTTCAGACTTTAACCAATTTGCCAGAAGGATGCGCCTCAAATACATTTATCATGGCAAAGATACTGTACCACACCCCTTCCATGTGAAGTCTAGTTGGATTCCCCCAGTTCAACGGTCAGTTGCTCTAGAATCCTATTTAGAGGAAGTCAAACTACGGCTAACAGAAGTGCCACTAAATAAACCTAAAAACAATCTGCCGCCTGGGGAGCGCCGAGCGCTCCGTGAACTTATTCAAAACAAAGAAATAATCCTTAAGAAAGCAGATAAAGGCACAACAACCGTCATAATGAAAAGAGAGAACAAAATAAATGAGGGACAAAAACAGTTGGATGATAGAAACAACTATCAACCTTTGGAAAAACCAATGGTTAAGGACACATCCCAGAGAGTTAAACACCTCATTAACACTCTACATAACGAAGGTTTCATTGACGAAATGACAGTAAAATGGTTTAACCAGACACCAGATCCGCCACGAATTCCAGTATTCTACACTCTCACAAAAATACACAAACCGACTTTAGTTGGAAGACCTATCATTTCGGGGTGCGATGGCCCCACAGAACGCCTCTCATCATTTGTAGACAAGCTACTTCAGCCAATAGCACAAATACAAGACTCGTATCTTAAAGATACGACACATTTTATAAGATTTATCGAAAACACTAGGGTGCCTAGTAACGCTTTCTTAGTCTCAATGGATGTCACCAGCCTTTACACGAATATCCCACAGGAGGAAGGAATTACTATAGTATGCAACGCATACGAAAAATTTCATGACAAAAACCCTCCTATAGCTACACACCTGCTTAAAGAAATGCTCAGTCTTATCCTTAAAGAGAACTCTTTCCATTTCAATGGGAAAGACTATCTCCAGACTCACGGAACTGCTATGGGCACGAAAATGGCAGTAGCTTTTGCCAACATTTTTATGGCAACAATAGAAAAGGAGATCTTAAAACAAAGCAGAAGGAAACCACTAACGTGGAAAAGGTTTATTGACGACATATTCTCTTTGTGGGACACAAACAAAGAAGATATAGATCTTTTCATTGAGCAAGCCAATTCTTTTCATCCTACAATCAAGTTCACTGCTGAAATATCACAAATTGAAACCACATTCTTGGACACGACAGTCTATAAGGGAGAGAGATTTGAGAAAGAAAGAATTCTCGACGTGCGCACACATTTTAAATCTACTGAAACGTTTCAGTACACTAACTTTAACAGTTGCCACCCACCAGGCGTTAAAAAAGGTTTTGTCAAAGGAGAGGCTCTTAGACTTCTAAGAACTAACTCTTCTAAAGTCATATTTGACAAGAATATTAAAAACTTTAAAACACGCCTTATCTCGAGAGGCTACCCAGAGAGTATGGTAGAAAAGATCCTCTCAGAAGTTAAATATGCAGATAGAGCGACAGCTCTGACACAAAAACAGAAAGCGCAAAAAATACTTTTACCCTTTGTCACGCAATTTCAACCGTCATTACCAGGTTTGAAAAACATACTAATGGAAAAATGGCATTTAATAGAAAACCAGCCACTACTCAGAGAGATATTCAAGGAACCTCCCTTGATCTCTTATAGAAAAGGAAAGTCGCTTAAAGACATGCTTGTTAAAGGCTTATAACAACACAACGGTCACACAGCAGGAGCCGCGCAGGTCTGTCAACCCCATTTTACCCGGCGTTGAAAAACCATGGTACCATGGTCAACGTCTTGCCGGGGTGAGCCGACCCGCTGTCGGTGTGAAATCACAGGCGGCCCAAGCTCAATATGAGAGCACTTGCGGTTGGGTAATTTTCAAAATGACCGTCATTATAAAGGATTTGTATGCGAATTCAGGTAATAGATTCGAGAAGATAAATACTCGCGTGAATTTTCAATGAAATACGCTTTGCCTTGTTTACTTGGTGTCTTCTTGCTTCCTG